TGTTACATGTCCTGAGGGTAAGTAATGACTCATTTAAATCTTAGGGTGAACAAGTTAGTCCACTGCATAAAACACTTATTTTTAAATCTAGATTAGATGTATCTTTCATACCCTAATAATCACAAGGGCAGAAACATTGTCAGAGAAGCAATGAATGTGAAAGGAACAGAACACTCTGCTTCTCAACTCACAGAGCAAAGACAAACACATGTGTTGCCACTGAGAACACACTGTGTCCAACAAAAAGACTCAACACAGTGTCTGGACCAGGAACATAATCTCCCTGAGAGTCAGTCTATAAAGGTTTATTAGGCTGTATAAAATTATGCCTGGGAAATTAAACATCAATTTGTGGGCCATTCGTGTGATATATTTCCTTTCTCAAATTCATGATCCTTATATCAGTACATTAAGATGTAGGTATTGATACAGTATAATACTAAACCTCATGCAGCAGTTGTAAAACGCGTCAGTCAGAGCTGATGTGTGATCATGGGTACTGCCTGTCAAATGATTCCTTAATGGAAATATAAAGTTTAGAGTGCAAAGTGAAAAAAATAATTAGTAAATTAGAAAAAACTAATCAGTAACGAGTTCCACAGATTTATTTTGAATAAATTTCTTTCTTCAAAATATTAATTTGTTTTTAATTGGTTCAAACTGGAGTCCTGCTTTCAAAAGCTTATAAAATAAGCTGGATTTGTGTTTAATCCACACTCAACATTAGCCATTCTGAATGATGGACTTGCAGCATCATTTCACGTCTCTGAAGGACATTTTTGCTGATTTAATATAAAAGGGTGTGTCATGATGGTGCAGTGGGTGGAAGGTTGCTGGCTCGAGCCTCAGCTGGATCAGTTGGCATGTCTGTGTGGAGTTTGCATATTCTCCTTATGTACGTGTGGGTTTCTCAGGGTGCTCGGTTTTCCCCACAAGTCCTAAGACATGCGCTTTAGCAGAATTGGGTAAGAGAAATTGTCCGAAATGTATGTGTGTGTGAATGAGTGTGTATGGATGTTTCCCATTGATGGGTTGCAGCTGGAAGGGCATCCACTGCATAAAACATATGCTAGATAATTGGTGCTTCATTCTGCTGTGGCAACCCCAGATTAATAAAGGGACTAAGCTAAAAAGAAAATGAATTAATAAATGAATAATATAAAATGTCTTCATAATTATACCTATACAAGTTAATTTTATTAATTTTCTTTTACCTCTGATTAGCTATATTTTAGTTCTTCCAACTTTTGGTTAATTAGCTTTTTTTTCAGTGACATTTTCATGCTATAGTGTAGGTAAACATACCATTTACCCAATCATGAGGAAAAGTAACTTATTGTCAGAAAAGTGGTTTGTTCAACACAAGCGGCAATTCGGCAACTCGTAACTTTTTGGTTTAGTGGCTAATTTGTATGAATCCATACAATCTCATTCGTACAATTTAGTACGATTTACTTATCCCCCAATGGCGGCTGAGTTTAGGGGTGGGGTTTGGGTGCCACGCCACCTTTTTAAAATTGTAAAATTTTGTATGACTGAACTTGAACAAATTAGCAACTCGACTGACAAACAGTAAAATAGTTACATTTCCTCATGGAATCATGCTGCTTTATTTGTGCAAATTCAATTTCATTAGTACAATGTACAATGTACAAATGTACAATTTTTAAAAAAAGTGTTGTGTACCTAACCCCCTCTTAAACTCATCCGTCATTGGTGAAGGAACAAACCATACAAACATTTTTTAGAATTAGCCACGAAATCAAATTAACCACGAAATCAAATTGCTGTGAGATTGTGTAGCATTATGCTACCTGAGTCCTATCTAAAGCCAAGCTCACACTCTGCGAATTTTATTAATCCTTTATGAATATATCTCGGCAGACTGTACAAACATGATTCACATGTCAGATTGTAAAATCTCAGTTGTTAATGTCAGACTGAACGAAAATAAAGACATGCAAGAAGAAAACTAATCTAGAATTTGCCATCATCCAATCTGTGACATGTTCAGTAAATCTTTCTGAAATTATATGTACTTTCTCAAAGCGAATATGATATGTAGCGTTAATTTGGCTCACCACATATAATTTTTTGGGTTTGACGTTGTGCTGATTGCAATATCAGATTCCTATTGGTTCTTGAATTGACAATGGTCGTAGCTGAAGTCACTCTGCTGTAAAGTGTCTGAAATCTTCTGAAACTGACAGAATTTCATCAATTGGACTAATTGATTGCAACGACCGTTAAGCCACTGTCAATAAACACGTCAAACCAATAATCAAAGACCACAGATGGCAGCCCAGGATAACAGGAATCTTTACGGCTTTTTCCAATTTATTCCTTAGATGGCCAGCGTGAGCAGGGCTTACAATGTAAATTTTGTGAGGAAAATGGTTTATTATTTTTATTTATTTTATTTTTGGGGGGAAAAAGGTCCTTGATTAGCAAAATTGAGAATGTAAAACATCTTCATTGTATTTTAGGCTCTATTTACACCCAGCATTAAGATGCATTTTAGTCGACACAATCACAAGGATGACTCTAAATACAGGCGTAAAAAGAATCTGAAACATTTGGAAGTGTCCACTTTTTACCACTTTCAGAGATCGTTAAAGGTGCATTTAACTGACTTGCAAACGCTAGTTGTCAAATGCATTCAGACAGCCACAAAAACAAAACACATACTCTCCATCGACTGATCAGATTACTTGACATGTTTGAGAAGCATGCATGCTAGTCAGACAGGTTTTAAACTTTGCGATCTGAAATAAAAACTGAAGTTTGATTTGAAAGTGTAAAATCATATTAAAAGGCCAATGTTTTCTTGCATGTTCTGATTGTTACTCAAACCCAATTTTAGCATATATGTCTTGTAGCAGAAACAAGAGCTGCTACTCTCTTTCTCTTGTCTTCTTTATTTTTTAAATACTTGATTGACAGATCAGAAAAAAAGATGTATATGTGCAATAGGTCAAAGAAAAACTAAAGTGTACAAACAAAATGAAAGATGAAAATACCAGGTGTAAATGGGAATGGGATCCCCTTTGTCTACTTGTGACCTAATCAAAATTCATCTTAGTCGCAGGTGTGACCAGAGCCTTAGGTGGAGCAGTGTGTTTATAGCAAAGCAAAATATGAGTTAAAAATCATAATGCTGCTCCAGAAGGTTATTATTTAGGCCTTAAAAGATTGACCCTACGTTTGGTGTGCTAAAAAAATACATATACAATTTTGGCAGCTAAGTTAAGTGTAATAACCACCTCCAGTTTTAAAAGAAGCATACGTTCACAAAAAAATGGAACCATGTTTAAATTAGGTTTTAGATCGACATCGTGTGGACCACATTAAATAAAGCAAAGACAAAGTTAGATTGCCTTTGATTACACTTTTCTTTGTATAATTATAAAGGCTTTTGCTTTTAAGGTGATTTTACAGCATCATAAAAATATAATGTCCAATTAGAGAATCTCTAGCTTAAACTCTAATGACAGGTAAAGAGTGATAAAATGATTCGAAATGCAAAAAAATGTCCAGCCTTAAACATTGATATAGATGGAGACAAAAATTGGCAAAACATAACAGAAACTGTGATGCAAAAAAATGTGGGATAGCTATCTGAGAGAGAATCCTCTTTAATCAACGCCACAACAAACACTATTAAATAATTAACAGGTAGACGAGACTACAGTACATGGAAACACTGAGACATCAAAAGTAAACCAGGACACTTAAAATAAATGGGAAAGTCAATTATGGTCTCGATGAGAAAAACCTCAGAGAAAACCCCTAAAAAATCTTTCTGTCAGTAATTTATGAGCACATATTAGGTTCATCTCATATAACCCAAAATATTTTTGGCGCCAAATTATTGAAGCTACCTTTCATGAAGATCTTTTGAACAACATAAAAAGCAATAAGACCAATTATAATAATAATAATTTATAGATCATAAATAATATTTGGTGTCATGTTGTCCCAATTAATAATAGAATAAGGTTTCATTTCTTGCATCATAGACCAATTGTTTTACTTTATAACACCTAAATATTGTCAGGATTCATGGGTATTAACTTTGTGTTGCCTATTTTTGACAGTAAAAGTTGACTTGTATTTATGAATCACCAATGATCAAAGTTTCAGCTTAAAATCGTTTATGTTCTACTGAAAAACAAAATGTCACCTACAACAGATGGCCTGAAGGTGAATAAATTAACAGCAATTTTTCATTTTTGAGTGAGCTGTCCCTTCAAACATTTTTTATTTTATGAAATATCACGCTCGTTACCTCATCTCCTTTCTTGGCCCTCAATAGAGTTATAATTATTGTGTCAAAGTCCTTATAATTTACATCAAGAACCCTTCACTTGTTCAAGCAATCAAACCGAAATTACAAGCTTTTAAAAAAACAAACTAGAACAACACGAATGTTAACCTTCTAACTCTCAGAATTATATTAACAAATTATTTGTAAACATCAGTTTGAAAACTTATAAACAGAATGCATTGCTGACACAAGCCACTGCTAAAAACACACCACATTGTGCTTTCCAACTGATTACATCAAACGCAGACTCGGACGTACTGACACGTACATGCGTCACGCAGGATTTAATATTTAGAAAAAAAGTGACTCATTTTGGAGAAACTCATTTGGCGTTACTTAACGCCAGCTACCTGCATCCTAGAGAGACACCAGCAAGCAGCAAAACAGCATTAGTGTAACTCGACTCTCTGCAACCATGCAGTGAAACACTTGAGTGAGACTGTTGTTACAGTTACGACAGCTTTCATTCCATAACAAGAACTTTTACGTGTTTTTCATCGCGAACTGCTCTGAGTACAACAAAAACAATAATAACATTTTTTTTAATTCGCTTCTCGTATTTTCTCTACCTTTCACACTGGTATCAACCTAATAAATGTGTACCTGAAAAATTGATGAAAAGTAGGCGGTAAGACTGCGCAATCTCAAATGAAATGGATGGTGTGAATCATACCTGCTCTTCAAACGCGCCTTCAGAAAGTTTCTTCCAAAAGGAGCCATATCGCATGTCAATAAGATCACAGGTCGGATCCAAACATCGCGGAACAGAACCGATCGCGTAAACCCAATCAGGAAAGTGCTGCTGAGTGCTGGTGGAGGCAAAAGTTGAACAACTTGCGAACTTCAAAGAGGAGTTTCAAGCAGGGCCGCCCACTTCACACGGAGGGAGGCGACAAAACTCTAAGTGGAGCTGGAGAAAATCGTGATAGCATCTCTGTTTGGTGCCACTGAGCGAATGGGGACGAGTGCTTTTACACATTTTGTTTTAGTATGTGTAACTCTGGGGTTCAAACTACGTCTTTAAACTCATATGATATGCATATATACAGTTGAAGTCAGAATTATTACCCCCTTTTGAATTATTTTTCTTTTTTAAATGTTTCCCAAATTATTTTTAACAGAGCAAGGGAATTTCCACAGTATGTCTGATTATATTTTTTCTTCTGGGGAAAGTCTTATTTGTTTTGTTTCAGCTAGAATAAAAGCTGCTTTTAATTTTTTAAAAGCCATTTTAAGGTCAAAGTTATTAGCCCATTTAAGCTAGCAATATATTTTTAATTGTGTACAGAAAAAAACATCTTTATACAATAATTACCCTAACCTCCTTAGTAACCTGCCTAATTACCCTAACCTGGCTAGTTAACTTAATTGACCCATGTTAAGCCTTTAAATGTCACTTTGAGCTGCATAGAAGTGTCTTGAAAAATATCTAGTAAAATATTATTTACTGTCATCATGGCAAAGAGAAAAAAAGTCAGTTATTGTTATTAAGCTATTATGTTTAGAAATGTGTTGAAAAAAAATCTGCTCTCTGTTAAACAGAAATGAGGGAAAAAAATAAACAGGGGGGCTAATAATATAAAACCTATCCGCAACATTTTGAATTGGTTAGGAAAAAAGGAGTTTAAACTTTCAATAATACAGTGCTTCTATACTAAAGCAGTAATTTGGGCACTAAAACGTAAAAAGTACTCAAAAGTATAATTTATGTGCTAATATGCACCTTTAAGGTACTAATAGTACACAGGGCTAAACAAAGCACAAAGGTGGAATGGCAGCATTTGCATCCTAAAACTAGGATAGATGGGTTATAATAGCCTAGCAATTACGAAAACTGAATTTTGACATCTTAAATTAAAAAAAATATATATTGTGTCAATTAAATGTATTTCCAGGCCAAGGAATAAGGAAATAATAATAATAAATAGAATAAAATAAAATATAACTATAAGGAAATATATATATATATATATATATATATATATATATATATATATATATATATATATATGTGTGTGTGTGTGTGTGTGTGTGTGTGTGTGTGCGTGCGTGCGTGCAGTGGCGCAGTATAGTGCTGTCGCCTAACAGCAAGAAGGTCGCTGCGGTTCGAGCCTCGGCTTAGTTGCTGTTTCTGTGTGGAGTTTGCATGTTCTCCGTGCGTTCGCGTGGGTTTCCTCCAGGTGCTCCGGTTTCCCCACAGTCCAAAGACAAGGAGTATACAGGTGAATTAGGTAGGCTAAATTGTCCGTAGTGTATGAGTGTGTTTGTGAATGTGTGTGTGTGGATGTTTCCCAGAGATTGGTTGCAGCTGGAAGGGCATCCGCTGTATAAAAACTTGCTGAATAAGTTGGCAGTTCATTCCGCTGTGGCGACCCCGGATTAAGAAAATGAATGAATAAATGTATATATCCCCCTAATTATAATATACAGCGTATGTAGAGTATTTCTCTATTATTTCATAAGGGTGCCCAAAGTTTTTTCTTATAATGTGCCAAAAACCTTGATTGAGGGCTGTGGGCCAAATAAATATACAAAAAACAGAAATGTGCGCATATCCAGAAAAATCTTGAAGGCAGGTGCATGATCAAAAAACAAACATAAGTAGCAAAAGATTCAAAGTAATGTAAAGTAAAGTAAAGTGGCAGTGTGCCGATTTACTTTGAATCTTTTGCCAAATAAATATACACTAAACTCCATTTATAACACAATGGAGTTAATTGTTGAATACAATTCAACAGTTCAATTAAAAAAGTCTGATTTATTTAATTGAAACATTTAATTTCAGTTGGCTTTTTTGTTGCTCAGCAATAAAACAAACAAACAAACAAACGGTTACGTTAAATTTGAAATCACAATCTCTGTCAAAGGTATTCACCCAAACCGACTCGCCCTCCCTTCTCCCTCTTTTCAGATGGGACGGAGGGCCAAATCAAAGATTACCATTGTTAGCCAACTTTCTCCAACCATCTCCTCCTCACATTAATATTTGATTTACTTACATTTAATGGCAAATAAAATACAGTTGCCATGTAATATTTCATATAGTTTTTTTTACCTACACTGTACATGGGTCCCAAACAATTCCTTCATGTTTTCCCAATACAAATTGATTAAGTTAATTTCATAGTCTGTATAAATTTACGTGGATTGAACATAAAACAATTAAGTTGTCCCCCAAAAACCTTAAGAATTATGTTGTTTTAACTTATTATTTTTAAGGTATTTTTTGAGTGCATTGAAGTCAAGCTGTAACAACATCCTCTGATCTTAAATTAAAATGAATCACAACATAATAATTCAGCCTTGACATTGGCTATCATGCATCTGAATGGAATACAAACTGTACTGAGAGAAACCGTCAAGGTCTAACGTCATATATTCTCCCAAATAATTTTTATCTCAGCATGATATGATGAACAACCTACAACAATGGAACGTTTGACACCAAATGGCCATCAACACATGCTAAAACTGATAAATCTTCAAGTATTTACAATATCATTGAGTTCTGGCATCCGACATCCTCTCCAACTTTATTCGTCATCCTCACGCTTCCAAGAACTAATCACAAATTCACTTCTTCACCCCTCCTTCCGAAAATGAAGAGGAACATTAAATGAGCATTTATGGAAGTTTTGACGTCAACAACCAAAGTGCTTTCTGAGGTGTTTGCTGATGTCATTGTGACACAGGACGAGGTTGCATGGAGGGAGGGATTGAGAGAGAGAGAGAGAGATATGGAGATGAATACGGGAGGGGTAGGAACGATAGTGTGCCTCCTCTGACATCATACAGGCTCTTATAAACCGGGTGGAATGGAGAATGCCATTCCTCACTTCACTTCTGAATAAGACAAGAGAAGACACGGCGAATAGGTTGGAGGAGAATCCAAGAGGGAGCATTGCGACTTGTGCAGGACGCTGTGTTTTCTCCCTCCATCTCTGCAACTCTCATACAACTTCTCTCGTTGTTATTCTTCCATCCATTTTCATATTATTTTGTGACCTTTAACCCTATGGACTTAGGCCCAGCTTGAATGTGTAGAAACTGTGGGACTACAAACAACATGCAGATGCAGCTGACCTCCTTTTTGCTCCTTTTTTTATTGTGTAATGGATTATGTTCAGGTAGGTGGACTATTATCACTTTATACTGACTCATTTTACTACATTGACAGTAGCTCTGATGAATTATTCTTCAGAATGACAGATATTTAACAAGAAAATATACTTTGTGATGATTAAATGTGATTGATTAAAACATTTTTGTTATCTTGTTCAATTTCTAACTAACTTCTTTATCTCAGTGTTTATCAGTATTTTCACCAGTAATATGCATTGGTTGTTTTTTCAATTGTGTTTCAATAATTGTATTACCAAATCCATAAAGACAAAACTAAAACTGATGGACTCAATTTAAAAACTATAATTAAAATGTGACCTCTTTAATTTTGCCAGCATTTGCTGGAGAATAATTTTGCTTTTTATTGGCATAATCACAGTTGTTTCTTGAAAAAATACGTCACTTTAATTTAAAAAGGATAATACAAACATTTAAAAATGTATAGATTTACTACATGAAGACAACAGGTAACAAATTACAAAGAAACAGCAAATAACTGTCATAATTAAGAAAATTTACAAAGAAATAAAAAAAATTTTCTTGTAAATTCAACACTTATTAACAACCTCACAACATAAAGTTTTGTATCCTAAAATAAATGAATAATCTGAAAAATGTTTTCTTGACATTTAGGTTGAAATAAAAACAGATCCACAACTGCAGATGAGAATAGCATCCGTTTTATTTCCTATCCTTCAATGTTGTGTGTTTTCTCCCTCTTCAGATATAGACCAGGGAAAAAGAGCAATAGAGGATGAGGTTCTGAGAAGTCTCCTCACATCAAAGGTACATTCTTGCTTTTAAAACACCTGTCGAGTGAGAGCCGACAGAGGCAATACTGGCCTTATATGGGGCCTTAATATAGATATGCCCTTTGACTGTATAGGGCAGCTGAATTTTAAATCAAACTCATGGTTATTTCATGGTTTTCTGGTTTTGTGAATTTAGTATGTTATCAAGTACCAAACAAGTAGAAGAATTACTTCTGCTCTCTTTAAAACATAGATGTCATAAAGAACTGGGTTATCACAGTAATGTCTTAGAAGAACTTTTCTGGTTCCTCAAAGATCCTTTTTAATCAAAAATCCTTCAAATATATATTTTTTTTATCATTGTATGAAGAAGATTTTCAGAGTCAACAGAGAATATTTGCCACTATTAAAGGGATAGTTCACCTAAAAATGAAAATGACCTCATCATTTACTCTCTATGATGTGGTTTTAAACATTTATGAGTTTCTGTCTGCTGTTGAACATAAAATAAGATATGTTGAAGAATGCTGATTGCTAGCAGCCATTGATTTCCATAGTAGAAAAAAATATACTATGGCCGTCAATGAGCAACCAGCATTTTTTCATAATATCTTCTTTGTTTTAAAGAGAAGAAAGAAACACAAATAGGTTTTGAATAAGTTAAATATATGATGACAGAATTTTCATTTTTTGGGTGAAAATCTTTTTAATAACCATTTGTGGACTGAATCCACCCATCTAAGGATGCAAAAAAGAAGGAACCTTTATTTTTAAGAGTGTCTAGCAAGAACATAATTATCTATTTTTTCATTGTCTAACAGATTAAAAACACTATCATCAAATCACATTTTGCTGTGACAACAATAACAAATGGATCTGGGTATTGTAGCAAAATTACGCTTGTGCTGATTTGTTTTTTTTTATCATGAATGCCAACTGGTCACAAAATTACACATTTTTGTAACATATTGATTGAAATGCTTCCAATCAGACCGCAAATCAGGAGCTGTGTGCTTAAAAAGCAAAATGGACAAAGCTTTCATGCTCTACTGGTGGAGCTAATGATGTGTCATTGCTGAAATGATGCTCAGCTGCCCTAATTCACTGAACAATATTCGGCACCGCATTAACACATCCATTATCTATCGTCAGCACATCACTGACTGTTATCCATTTTTAAGAGAATCACATTTTACATTAGATATTTCTTTTAAACTTTAAATGATTTTTGGCATTTGTAACATTTAGTTCAGATAAATGAGTGTTTACATCAACATTTAATAATTATTCGCTTCTATTAAAAGTGACAAATGAAGACAATAGAAGTAATCAACAACAATACATTAATAAAAATGTAAATATTTTGAAAATGCCAAATTATACTCCAAAAAATAACATTTGATGTTTGTTTAAACTACTTAATTAAAATAAGTTGAAACAAATTATGTTTTTTTAAATCATGTTTAAGCCACTTAAACTTGTCAAAAAATAATAGACTAACTTAATTCTCTCATGCTGTCTCAACACAAATCAATTGTATGGAGCCCAACATTTTATACAGTCTAGTGTATTGCTAAATGTATAAATGGATTATAAAGTAGCATGTAATTTTTAAAATATAAGAAGATACAATTGAAAATACAGAGTTAATAAATAGGTATGACTTTAAACACTTGTATTAAATATTATGTGTTATGCTAATGCTTTTAAAAATGTCAGCAGGCTGTAAAAACATGGACGGCCCTCAGGTTGTAATCTCCTTCCTTAATAATAAAACAAAATCTTTCAGTTTGATGTATTTAAACCACTGAGATTATTTACACTTTCTTTCCAATATCAGACTCACAAACTAAAGGAGATTGTGTTATTTAAGACTGGTGTAATATAAGGCTTATACAAAGTTACAGCCAACAGGTTGAAAGTAGATTTCCAGATAACACTCTAGGCCTTGATCTTGTTAGTTTCATCCTGTGAAGGCCAATAAAGACACTAGAGAAAACTCAAAATGTGCTTATCCAGTATTGGCACCCCGTAAGCTTGATGGAGACTGAGAATAAAGTAATGGTTGGAGACAGCTGGAATTTTTATAAGCTGAGATTTTGATTGAGTCTTTATATCCATACAGCAGTGATGCCAACTCTTGCAACACAAATATGCTACTAAACCTTCAAAAACTTTTTGATTATTTATCATCATCAGCTTTATTTATTATCAATTTTGAATTATCATTAATTGTTGAAGTGTAACCATGCACTGTGAGTTCAGAAGCAAAATGAGAAGTTATTATTATTATTATTAAACAAAAACTAAATAAATTTAATAGGAGACACACTTTGTTCACTCATCTAAAACAAGGAGAGATGTAAAAAGAGGTAAAATGTAGCCAACTATTTATGATCAAATTAAATAAATTACAGGCTGTAATGTTTGATACATTACAAAAATATTTATTAAAAATTGACCTCATTAAAAGGTCATCCCTTTCATACTGTAGGTCTGTTCACATCTGGACAATCATCTTTTGTGTTACGTTAGCAGGCTGTAATGTAGTTTATAAATATGTAGATGGAATAGAAAGTACAACAAAACATGTTTAAATATAACCCAGCTAGCCAAAACATGAGATTTTTACATAGATGCAACAAATTTTGTTTCGTTGTGACAAGATTTGTTGTGACGACATAACTAATTACGTTGTGACAACTGGAAAGTGAAAATCCCAGTTATGTTACAATATAAGTTTATGACATTGCCAGTTAGGAATCACAATGTTACTGGGTTGTGTACCAATTTGAAGAATTACTTGACATCATTTGCTTCATAAAAGCAGAATTTTTTTTAAAAGATGGACTCATACTCAAAAGTAGGCACATCTTCAGTCAGAGGCATCAACATTTGTGGACATTTACTCAGAACCAATAAACTCAATTATCTAATTCTCTGCTGTACAAAAATAAATCTACAGTAGGTTATGGAAAGTGTTTGTCTGGCAATGTCGCAGAGTTACAATGTAGCAAAATAACTGCCACAACCAAACTTTGGTCATCAATACGTTGCAGTTAAACATAAAATGACATCATCATATACTATATATGGCAAAGATATATATATATATATATATATATATATATATATATATATATATATATATATATATATATATATATATATTAGGGATGTAACGGTATCAGAATTTCACGGTACGGTAATACCTCGGTATGAATGTCACGGTACGGTATTTATTGAATCATTTACAGGAAAAAACAAAACTTATGAAAATACTCCAAAAAAGTGCCAAAATTGTCAATGACATACAAATTAGCCATCTATCTGTAAGCTTTTAAACAGGAACTTCAATTTTAATAACAAAAAATTATTAAACCATGTAAAAAAATAAAGTTTCAATTTAGTATTGTTGAAAACTCATCACATTCAACATTTAATCACACTCAGCCCATCTACCCAGATGAGAGCTCTGCTAGTCGGACTTCTCATCAAGCATCTCCCGCTGGATCTAATCTCACTATATTTATTAAACGGGATATTTCATTTATCTTGTTGTGTTTATCTAACGACATATTCCCTGACTTTGGGCATTGGAATCTATTACTTGTTCTCAGGTAACGTGTTTTGGCTGAGCGCAAAGATAAGTTAATGATTAATGTAACCACGTACATTCTGTATATTGACTGATCGCTTGCCTTTATTTCCTATAATGTATAAACTTATTGTATGTTATACTTTTAAAATGGCCATTATCGATTCTTAAAACTGATACTCAGCAAAAGAGAGGCTGTGTTTCGTATTTTCACTGAAATTGAAAGGAGGCAGTGTTTTTATCGGCTCCGTTTTGTTATAAATATCCACACAGTGAAAATGACGCTCATCTTATGCAGCACGACGCCTCAACATGTCTGCTGTCTAAGTTGCTAATATTAAAATGAAAATAGGCAGTTCCTTAAATCATGTTTACATTTTATTGTTGAGAAAGTGAAACAACGAAGCCAGGGTGATGTGAATGAAGTTATAAAGTACACTGTTCCCTTTGAAGATTTACCCGTGTCCTCGGTATAATCTGCTTTTCCATATCAAACTGAAAAGAAGAGACTGCAGCCTTGATCAAACTTGCGAAGTCTGAACTTACACGGAGATAATGCAGGATTGAACTGTGCGTGTTAGGCTACTTAATATTCAGGAAAAGCCCCAATCAGAGAGGCGAATGTCTGCAGCCCCGCTTCCGTTTTCAGATGTACATGACAGTTTAAGGTAAGACGCGCACATTCGAATGATATTTAACATGAAACTAATCAGATGGCGCTCTGTGGCGCGGCTGAAAAATGAACTGCGTCCTGAGCCGTCGCCGGGCGCCGCCGACAGCCGCCGACTTGCGGCGCCGGTGTGTGTATCCTGATAGAAACCTATGTTTAGAATTCTAAAATACATGGCGCTGCGTGGCGCTGCGCGGCGCGCCGCCGAGCGCCGCTTCTGGTGTGCGACCTGCTTTAGAGTTTTCCAGCTCTTTTCATCCCCGCTTCTAGCAGCACACTCCATTTCCGCATTACTGGATCTGTAGCGACAACAGACCGCAAGGGATGATGGTCAAGCATGGGCTGATGGCAATTGTAGTTTTCGCTACATCCCGTTCGCTTCATTCGCCTGAGCAAATTTTCTCAGAAGACCTATAGTTATACCGAGTCATGCGACTTCGGTAATATCGAAAAAAAATAATATTGCGGTATGACGGTATTTACAATACCGTTACATCCCTAATATATATATATATATATATATATATATATATATATATATATATATATATATATATATATATATATATATATATATATAAAGATGTTACGTCAGTTACGTTGGCGCTAAATTATCAAATTGCCAAGCTATTGCTTATAGAATACCTGTCTGGGATGTTATTTTGTTAGTGGGATGCTCTGACAACGTTGTGATTTGGTATTGGTATAATAATAGAATTACAACCATATGACGTTGTGGTTACATTGTCTGTTGGTAAGTCTTGAAATTACCAAAAATGACCAATATGTTACGTAACTGTTATGTCGTGTGTTTGCTGGGAAAAATACAGAGTTAATAAATAGGTATGACTTCAAATACCTGTATTAAATATTATGTTTTAAATGTGAATACTTTTAAAATGTCAGCAGGCTATGTCTAATAATAAAAACAAGGATCTGTAAACGAACGTCAACAGCCTTCAGATGGTAATAAGAATATACAGTCGTTCAGTTTGATATAGTTGTATTATTTGCTTCAGGCTGCACACTAAACATGACTTTTTCCAATGATACAGAGAAAGGGGCCATGGAATGGGATGTTAAGACTTTTAGACACTTACAGTTGAAGTCAGAATTATTAGCCCCCCTGAATTATTAGCCCTTCTGTTTATTTTTTTCCCAAATTTCTGATTAACGGAGAGATTTTTTTTCCAACACATTTCTAAATATAATAGTTTTAATAACTCATTTATAGTAAAAGATTTATTTTATCTTTGCTATGATGACTTGCTCTGTTAAACGTAATTTGGGAAATATTTTTAAAAAGAAAAAAAAATCTTCAACTGTATATTATTACAATGAATGGCTATTAATGGTGTCAAGCAAAAATCGAAGCTGCTTCTAAACAAGCAACCAGGTAAAAATATTTTTTAACTAAGCTCCAAAATCTGCAACCCTTTTCCTTTTTAGTGAAACTTAACAAAAAAAGATGTCCTCTTTGAGTGGACTTGGCAACTTTTTTGTCAACTTTTTTTTCAAGTTTTTGTTTTCTCTCTCTCTCTCTCTCTCTCGCCATCTGTGCAGGTAAAGGCGAGCAGGCACATCGCCCCCCTGTGGCAGCTTCCTCTGCAGGACGTGTGCAGGATGGTGAACGGGCTCGGTGACTCGTGGCTGGAAGCCTGGGCCAATGAGGAGGCGGCGGAGGACACTGAGGTCCACGCTGACTATGAGCAGAGGGTCTCGGGGACTCTTCTTCAGATGCTGGAGGAAATGCATGACATTCAGAACCTCTGCAGGGTCCTGCAACCTAGAGAGGTGAGACATTTATTTGAGACTGTAAATAACTGACATGTTCTGATACATACTGTAGAAGACTATTTTTGTACTGTATGAGTAGATTTATACTTTACTTCATGTTGTTTTTTTGTACTTAAAAAAGACATGGTCTTAAAAACGGATGAATATATACAAGCAGAATGAAAATAAAGACTTTAAGGGAGGGAATATTTTATCAGTAACAGTTTATAACATATGTCTCAAACTCATTTGCTTTAAATCTGCAGCTCTGCACTTTTTTTCTCCAACCCATATCAAACATAGCTGATTTAACTAATCAAGGTGTTCAAGACTACTACAGACTATTAAGCAGGTGTGAGTTGAAGGTGGTTGGAGCTAAACTATGCACTAAACTATGCAGAGTTTGAGACCACTGGTTTATAAGCTTTCATTTGTCAAAATTATTCAATGCAAATTAAAGTACTAACTAATTATTATTGCATTATAATTTATAATCTAAATTTATTATTTATAGTTATAATATAAAATAAGTGCAAACTACTAACTAATAGGAAATACAATTTGTAAAATATGTAACAATGTATTTTATTTTTGGCTAGTTGCCAAGGAGATGTTTCTCATTTTCATTCTTTTGAAGTAATTTATTAAATAAAAAAATAATTAATAAAAAAATACTTTTAAAAATTCAAAAGGTACTAAAACTAAAAAAAAAAAGGTTAATAATGTAACTTTTAGGATTAAAGTGAACACACACATGCAAATTATTACTATAACTACACTTAATCTCTGTCTTTCTATACTCTATATATGCAAAAACATAAAACCACATTTAAAGGACCATGAAACCCCCCTCTTTTGGTTCAAGTCTACTTTAGAATTTTTTTAAAAAATGTCCCGAGATGGGCGTGGACCACCGCGATCAGAGGGAGGAGTGGGCTAGGCACAGCAGGGGAGAAAGAGGGGAGTAAACAACAGTCAGTACGGTCACAAAATGAGACACAAACCGCGAGGAGACCCATGATTTTATAGTTTACAAAGTTAACATGCAAAGAAAAAAAAAACAGTAAGTAATTTAATGTCCTGCTGCATTTGTTATTTGTAATTTTATTTAATATTTACACATAAAACAATTTGATATACCATAATAAAGATAATTATATTTATATAAACACTATAAATGAGGAGGACTTCTGTCCTCCTCAATCCCTGGGTCTGAATGCAGGTGCAGTAGATAGCAGTGCAGCAGGTCTCTTGCCTTATCTATTTTAACCATTAACCATGACGGTAATCTGGAGGATTTTAAACATGACCACAGCAGGATAGATATAGGTGATGAGTCTGAATGATAACAAACTCAACTGATAAACTACAAAGTACGCCATTCTTCAATTTTTGTACAGCTCTCTCAACAAAAATGCTTGCTGCAAACCAACAGCTTTGCTGTATCGGCCCAGACAAACCCTGTGGATCATGGAAACAAACACATACGACCCGCGCAGGCTCATCCATTGGGTCTTAGAGCTTGGCAGGTCTGCCTTGCCTTCGGAAAGCACATGCTCCCATGAATAATAAGAAGCAGGGTCTTCTCATAGCATAAGAAAACTTCGCTATAAATAATAATCAGAAACCGACACGTCATCACTCCACTAGCAGATTCGCGCTACATCACCAATTTTGATCCCGCCCCCAAAATTATTTTAAACCTGGAAGATAAAATTAGCTGACAAAAGGTCAAAATTATCCAACTTTCACAACAAATAAAGCTAACTGATGCTCAACACAAACAACACTGTTAAAGTTAAAAAAAAAACACTTGATGGTGTCTTTTAAACTTTTAAAAAATTGGTTTTGCAACTGTAGTCACTCTTCAATACTTCAAAAAAGCTTCCTGTTTTAGTAATTATGTGCCTTGCAATTGTACTCTTCAATACACAAAAAACAAGACATCTGATTTGTTTTTTGCAAATAAATAATAATAATAATAAAATACATCTATAAATGCCTATATCTTTTAGATGAAACTAATTCTGAATAACAAAAAAATTATAGAAACAACATCTACATAAATGTGTTAAATGTTTCTCAAACATTTGATTGATTGTAATATAATTATTTTAAATTCAACACCACAAAAGCAACAACTGCAAACAAAACTGCAAAAAAAAAAAGAAAAGAAAAACATTTGATATGAATTGCTGTGCTTGAAAGTGACAGTGAATTTTTATGAACCTACAGTTGATGGGTCAACTCACAAATCATTAAAATTCCCCTAAATTACCTTTAAAACACAGTCTCTGTCAGTTTGCCCAGTAGACTCCATCAGCTGCACACGTTATTCAAGCACGCTTCTGTGGAGCTCTAAGCAGAAACCATTAGAAAGAGCCACATGATGAACTGAGTGTCATTCAGGCCATGACAGATGATTGACAGCACTGTCCACCCAATAGCTGTGATTTTCAGCGCTGTAATAATCTGAGTGACATTGAGAGAAAACGCCCAAACATTCTGTCTTTCATTTCAGCTTCAAGACGAGCAGGAATATCTGGAGCTGGAGCAAAACAGCGACAGTCCGCTGAAGAGGAAATCTCCCTATATACTGAAAAGACAACTGCGCACTAATAAATCCAGACGGCCGTACATTCTCAAGAGAAGCGTAATTTACTGAAGATCCGCCGACAGAAAGACATTTTTACATTTTGTGAATACGTGTCTTTTTTCACTGTCGTAATATTATATAGCAACTCTATGTTCTGTTTCAGCCAAATCTTTATTTATTTATTTGTTTATATATATTTATTTATTTATGTGATTTCCAAAGTTCTTCATTATGTGATAGATGTTGTAAATAAAACAGCAGTCACTTCAAGAGTATATTTATTTATTTATTGTATATTTATTTTTTCTCTAATGGAAATAAATCATACTTATTAAAACTCCTCAAGGTGCATCTTGTATTATTTCATGGTAAATATTAAGATTTATATGACACAAAGGACATTTTTGGATAGAGAAGATTTCAGAGGTGTGCGATGTATAAAAAATATTTGAATAGTTCTTTTTTATCACTGACATTAAGTACGTCACTGACTTTGCGAAAAACATGCCTTGAGAGTGCAGAAGCTCAACTGGTGTGGTTATTTTAATTGAGACTCACAGATTGGTTGCTGACTAACAAACCTGTGACATCATGGTTTTTGTGAAGCATACAAAAACAAGTTGCTACCTTAAATTTCTAAATTAAAACAGCCCAAATCTCCATGCTATTTTCAACCTTCTTATTATTTTCTGACAACATTAACGAGATTACTATTTTTTCCTTTTATTTTTAGCTCCCGCCTCAGAGTTCTTCTGATTGGTCAAATGCTGTGAGTGTGGAAATGAGCACAGTTGCAGGTGAAAGGTAAAAACATTTTGAAAGACGCAAGTGTAACAGTCAAATAATGGAACTATAAGATACTGTTTAATCGTGTGCGCACAAGTCCCTTTATACGCACACATTATATTAAACAGTTGTTGTCCGCTGCACCTGCTGTTATGGATGGATACAGTGTTAGCATTAGTTAGCAAGCTTAACATTACTAAATCTTAAATTTGATACACAATTATTATTATTATTTTTTTATTATTTACACAGTTTGCTAATTTTAACATTTTATTTTTCCATTATTGTTCAGTTCTAAAGCTGATTATGACAAATCACTTTCCCTGTTCAAAATAATCAGATAAAGCAACCACTGCAAATTTGTCACTTATTCTTGTTGTATCGTAACTGTATTGAACCGTGACTCCAAAACCAAGGTACTGTACTTACTGAACCGTGATTTCAGTATGTTATTATACAAACACTCACTAGCCACTTTATGAGTTACATCTGTCCAACTGCTTGTTAACCCAAATTTCTAATCAGCCAATCACAAGGCAGCAACTCAATGCATTTAGGCATGTAGACATGTTCAAGACAATCTGCTGCAGTTCAAACCGAGCATTAGAATGGGGAAGAAAGGTGATTTATAAGACTTTGAACATGGTTGTTGGTGCCAGACGGGCTGGTCTAAGTATTTCAAAAACTGCTGATCTACTGGGATTTTCACGTACAACCATCTCTAGGGTTTACAGAGAATGGTCAGAAAAAGAAAACATATCCAGTGAGCGGCAGTTCTGTGGGCGCAAATGCCTTGTTGATGCTAGAGGTCAGAGGAAAATGGCCAGACTGATTCGAGCTGATAAAACAGCTACAACAGAGTTACAACAGAGGTATGCAGGAGAGCATCTCTGAACGCAAAACATGTAAACCTTGAGGCGGATGGGCTACAGCAGCAGAAGACCACACTGGGTGCCACTTCTGTCAGCTAAGAACAGAAAAAGTGGCTACAATTCACACAGACTCACCAAAATTGGACAACAGAAGATTGGAAAAAACGTTGCCTGGTCTGATGAGTCTCGATTTCTGCTGCAATATTCGGATGGTAGGGTAAGAATTTGGCATCAACAACATAAACATTGATTTATTCTGCCTTGTATGCCTGAGTATTGTTGCTGACCATGTCTATCCCTTTATGACCACAGTGTACCCATCTTCTGATGGCTACTTCCAGCAGTATAATATGCCATGCCATAAAGCGGGAATCATCTCAGACTGGTTTCTTGAACATGACAATGAGTTCACTGTACTCAAATGGCCTTTACAGTCACCAGATCCCAATCCAATAGAGCACCATTGGTATGTGGTGGAACAGGAGATTTGCATGGATGTGTAGCCCACAAATCTGAAGCAACTGTGTGATGCTATCATGTCAATACAGATCAAAATCTCTAAGCTTTAAGAAATAATAATCATTAGCATGAATTAAACATTACCTATTAAACATTAACTACAATTATGTTTTCTAAAATAACTGTGATTAGATCAAATAAGCTAAATTAGGTAATTAATCAATAATTGTGACAAACTTACTGACCAATAACAAGCCATTTCCATTTCTCATTTGCTATTTGTAATACTGCAGCATCATTAAGATGAACGCCCAGTCTGCCCTTCAAAGATATATATTCTGTCCAAAAAAGTGCTCTGTAATAGTACAATGTCATATAAAACATTCCTCTGGACTCCAGCTGACACGTCAAAGCAATTAAGAAAATAAAAGGGAAATATATTCCATTACTCTCCATTAAGAAAATAAAAGGACATTTCACCAGTAACAGAGCTGAATCTCTCTGATGAATAAAGCAATGATTTGTCAAACTGTGAGCTACATTGCACATCACTTACATTAATGAAATGGGAAAAAAGACAGCTTGTTGGTTTCCATTTCTCTAATTGGCCACTGATAATTAAAAATACAGTACTAATGCAGCTAAGTAATTAGCTTTGAAAAGCGCTGAACAACTCAAATAGACTAAATATATTATTTCTCCATGGCCTTTTGCCTTTATAGGATACTGCAGAGATACTGATCCCTGAACTAATTAATGATCCATTCGAATCCCAAATTCACTATAGATGGCATGTTAGATATGTTAACAAAATTTAATGCAATAAGGGCTTGTATTTTACAGATCATGCAGTAAGTGATCAGAGCTTCTTCACCAGTAGATGGCAGTGCAGTCCTGCAGTTCAAGTCTTCAAAAAGGCAGCAAGATGAGATGCCTAAAAAGTGATTAAAGGGTATTTTATCATCCACTTCAGAAATCATACTTAAAACTACTGATCTTGTTCTATATTTGATATTTTTTTCCATCAGTAAATTGTTTATAAAGGCTGGTAAGCAATGGTGCATCTTTAGTTTGAGAATATGGTTTTAATTTGAATCTCTTTCCCAACATCTATGTATTTAGGGACTATATGGTGATAGAAAATCCAAGAAATAATAAGTTGATTAAACAAATGCTTTTTTTCATTCAAACAAGAAAACAGAACATTTATAAAATCATCATTTATAATTAAAATAAACCATTTATAATCATATTTTATGTATATAATCATATAAACAACCACAATAGTTGAAATAAAAAAAATATCTGAAGCTAATTTTCTGTGCTGTTTTATAAGACAAAGACAAGAAAAACATGTAAACAAACACTGTATATAATACAGCTATAACAAATGTAAATATTAATAAAATATAAACAATTATTTTTATATTTTTTGTATGTTTTCTTTTACTTCCATCTTTTATTCATTATTTTAATTATTTCATTTTGCGTTTACTTTTATATTGACAAAATAAAATACATGACATATATACAGGAAGAAAATACAAAATGTCACTTATAATAATATAATTTATAATAACAATATGTCAATTAGAATAAAAATATATCAAATCAATTAGAAATGAGTTATTAAAACTATTATGTTTAGAAATGTCTTTAAAAATATTTTCTTTGTGAAAAAGAAATAGGGGGAAAAAATAAACAGGGGGCTAATAATTCAGGGGGGCAAAAAATTCTGACTTCAACTGTATGTACACACACACAGTACAGTGCTCAGCATAACTGAGTACACCCCATTTTGAAAATTAATATTTTTTATCTGTGAATATAGGCAATGAATTTTGGTGCATTTAAACAAAACAGATTTATTAAAAAGATATACTTATTAAAATAATATTTTTGTCACCAACTATATTTAAAAATTGAAGGAAAATACATATTTAAGCAAATTAAAAAAATATATACTTTTTCTTCTTTTGATTTTTCCTCTTTATTAAAAATTTTAATTTAATATTTTTCTTTAACATAAGTTTGGCTGTACTAGTTTTTGGATGGTTATCGTAAGGTATTTTGTTAGATAAGCTCCAGATTCTGCTTCAGTACTGACTAATCTAATGTATATGCTCAAATAAAATTTTAATGTATAGATTACTATTAAAAATATGAATTTAAAAGATAGATTTGTGAAGGGCGCACTTATATATGCTGAGCACAGTATGTATAATCTAAATGTGATTCCAGGAAAAGTGTTTTTTTTTTTTAACCTCTGCTCTAGTTATGAGCTATAAAACCAGTCAGAAAACTTCAGCCTGACTGAGCTAATCTGCAACGGTATAAAGCATCTCTGAGGTGTTGATTGAGGTCATATCTGGATATTATCCGGATATTTCCAGTGACTGCACATCACAAGCATTACTCTCAGCCGAACTTGAAATGTTTTATTTTTTTTATTGATGCTCATGTGTGCAATCCTGTTTGGAGCTTTTTTTTTTTTTTTTTTTTTAACATTTCTGCAGGCATTGATCGCATATGGCTGCTTGTCTTGTTTGTCACTCACTTTATTGCCTGCCGCTGAAGTCTAGGGAAAAACAGCCGTGTCCTTCGACAAGGTCCCAGACAATACAGATAGGAGGACAGGCGCATATCTCTGTATTTACACAACACTGATTATTTGATGGTTGTGTTGTTGTGCTGCTGCAGCCTGTTTGATATTTGAGCAAAGCAGCGGCCTTTTCTTCTTATCCCCCCTTGTTTGTTATATTAAACAAAACAAAACAACATTAAAATAATGTGTTAATAAGTAAAAGTGGTACAAATATTATACATTTAATAATTTTATATTTAAAATTATTACAACTCTTTTGTTGATAAATGCATATATCCTATTGGACTGAAGAATAAGTGCAAAGAATAAATACTTAAAATTACATATAATCAATATTTTAGTGCTGCACTGTGATCTTTTAATAACATGTCATCAAATTATTCTCATTCTAAATATAACTGAATTGATATATTAGTAAACCAAGAGTGCCCAAACTCTGTCCTGGAGGGCAGGTTTCCTGAAAGTTCCTAGTATAGCTAGAAAGAGCTTGATTAGCTGGTGTGTTTAATTGGGGTTGGAACTAAAATATGTAGCACATCAGCCCTCCAGGACAACGTTTGGGCACCCTAGATATAAACCATCGTTTACTCAGTGGTTTTGGTGGTTGATTTCTGTAAATCAAC